TTAGCATACTTAATCCACCACTTCTTTTCGTTACTTCACCTCTTAGAATTTGCTATGCGCCCTGTCCCGTAGCCACAGAATGCATTATTTCTCTTAGAAGTCACTTCCAGGTACATTTTCTTCAGCCAAATATTCCGACCAATAAAACCGTTTTCTTCCACAATTGGTTTTTTTAATGTGCTCGTACAGAAAAAAGCTCACAAAAAGAAAAAAAAACCCTCCATTACATCCGCATAAAACCCCGTTTCTCCCTTCTCCTCCCCCCCTCCCCTAGATTAATAAACTCTCTTGACCCTACACTTCTTGAAACAGCAACGAGTCTACTGTAACCGATTATTGTAAGTGAGAAAGTTCATAAAGAATTAGCAAATGAAATTGCTAGAATTCAATATTGTAGTAGAACCTTCAGAATCTGTCATAACGTTTCTGACGCGTCATCTTTTGAAGACTAAACTATTTCTTTGACAAAATTTTATACACTCTTCAATCTCGAAAAAATGGTTCCTCAACTTCATTTCTTTATGTCTTTATGTCCAAAAAAAAAAAAAAACCCGCCAAAGAGACCTGCCAAGAAAAACAATCCCAGAAAAACAAGTCCGGGTTTGAATAAGTTTTAAAGCACAGACCCTCTGTTAGTGATACCTGTCAATTAAACGCTAACTTTATCTTCTGCAGACCAAAAGCATTTTGTCCAAACTCCTAAAAATTAATATGAATAAAAGACCTTAAATCACCTTCATGTCCTGAAGAACGCCCTTAAAAAAAAAACTTCTCAGTATTTAGACCGCAAGGTGCAAAAAATAAAAAAAGTATGATCCCGAAACGAAATAAAAATTTGATTTGGTCGAGAAAGATCTTTAAACTTTTTCCAGCCTTTCTTCCTCTGTTGAAACATCTTTTTGTCAATAATTTGAAAAATGTGGCCACAATACATTCAATTTTGCACAGGCAACTTAGACCGGTAAAATTGCAGATAAAACCAACTTCTCCATTAATCTTTGAATTTCTTAATTTTTACGAAACTTAACAAAAGAATTTGTGTACCAAGCTAAACTGCAACAGTTTATCATTTCGAAAGTTAAAGAGAGTAACACTTTTTCATGAAATATAATGAGTATTCTGAAAGAAAAACATGAAAAGATTGAATAATAATCCAATTGTTGCAGAAAAAAAAGTTAGTACGGGGTTTACTATTGAAACTGATTAGAAAGGGGAACAACATACTGTAAATCAATGAAGAAAAAGAAAACGGAAAAGGAAGAATGACGTTACGATCTGTGGAACTGGATCGACAGAGGTGCTTGAAAATGTTCTAAGATTAGAGTGCTGCTGAAAATGCTTAAATTTAGTGCTGCAGTTTTCTACATGTAATAGTGTTGAAAGAGAACAAAACGAACAGTAACTTGATATTCACGAGGCCATAAAAAAAAGATCAACTTCAAACACTGCAAACATTTCTTCTGTAGATGTAGACCGGAAATTTTGTAAAAAAAAAAAGTTTTGGTACATTTAGAACTAGTTATTTAAATGCTAAAATGAGGTTTGAAATTGTTCTTGCCTTCTAAAGATGTTCCGGTGAGAAACAGCATTAAAAAGAAAAAAAAAAAA